GAGAACTGGACAAGCTTTTGGTAACACTGGTTGTGATAAATAGTTTTTCTCCAGCAGCAGTAGTAGTAGTATTATTAGTAGCTGTAGTCCTGCAAGCAATGAGATCAAATGAAGCATTTTAACCAAAGAGAACACATTACTTTCACGCTTTAATTTTAATATAAAATTTCAAGTCATGGAAGCGTATTTCTGAATGATGAAGGTTGGCAAAACATTCCCATTGACAGCAATACTCCCACTACATTCACAACCACATGTGCTCATAAAAAGACAAAATGGCTGTACAAGTGCTTCTCTGAAGCTTTATCAGTGCAGAAGAATTTACTATTTCAGATCTATTATTTTATTTTTAAAAACTACACTGAGAATAAATGACAGCTACATGTTGTAGCAGTTGGGTTTATAGATTGTTCTAGATGTATTGGTTTTGGTGCATATGTCAACCGATACGAAACAAGAAATTGTAGTTCAGAAACAGAAATAATTTAGAAACTGTGCATTAATTACATAGTTTGTCCTAAGGCTGGGCGATACGGCCAAAAATGTTATCAGAAATTATTTTTTCACATCATTTGACAACAATAATTATCACGATAAATGTCAAATACTTATTTCTTTGAAGTTTATAGGCTGATTTTTGCTCCTGAGTGAAAGTTGAAGAAACCAGATGGTTAATTGGGGTTTTAAACTATTCTTTATGGGCAGAACACTTGATGTCAAACAGTGGATCACTTAACAAATCTGAAGTAGAACATTAAAAACAATTAAAATATATAAATTAATTGAATCAAACATGTATTGAAGATTTATTGAACATTTGTTATATTGTTAGAGAAATTATATCGTTATAATTATTATTGTTTTATTGAACAGCCCTAGTTTTTCCCGCCAGAGAAGTTTATTTTCAACAGTAAAAATATCCAACTCAGTACATATCTTGGTCACTTCATTTTTAAACTATGCTTATGTCATTTCTTTATATATGAAATATATATCAAAAATATCACAATCAGATTTCTAAACTCTCAAATACTGCAAAGGCCTGTCTCAATAATTTCCATATTAAAATGTGTTAGACTGACCATGATAAAGAGGATTTCAGTAATAACTGACCATCTACATTGCTTCACATTCACTGGCACGCGCGCACACACACACATTCTCAACCACTGAGGAGTCGAGCTTGAAGATCCCTATTGCCATATATGATCAAAATAAGACAGCTTGGCAAGAGAAGGAAGGTCAGCAAAACATCTGAGCCTAACCCTTGATCCTCTTCCTAGTTCAATCAGACTGTTCCTCTGAAGGATGTCTTAACCTGGTAACTGCTGAGACGGGAAGGATCAACAAGAACAACTCCATCAATGTGGACTTGGCAAACGAATGTACATTAAACTTCTGCCTGGGATGGCATGCTACCAAGCCATCCGTTTTGGCTGTTAATCCAACTTTTGCCCCAGTCCGACCCCTTTCTTAAAAACTGTGCTTGACAAATTCTCTGAGGACCAAAAATGCCTCTCTGAAGTCATTGTTAGGATTAATTTTTACTAATCACCAAGCATTCTGTCCCTCATACTTCATGTGAAACCCACAGTTTCATGAAAAGTGAATGCCAACTCGTACACTGACAGCTTGAGTGGGAGCTCACAGTTTACCACGGTCAGCACTTTGAGAAACCCTAAAGTGTTTGCCCTTCCATCTCACTTTACTGACCGTTCGCTCGCTCCAGCAGTTCATTTACCCGATGCAGCAAAGGCCACAGCTCTTGGCCCACTGTGTTTTGACCAAGTAGAGGCAAACCACTGGTCTGTGGAGCAGGAAGCTGGTGGTATGGCCTGATATGGCCCTCAGTGACAGGCAGCCAAACTGTGGGCACTGCTGCAGCCCTGGCAGAGGTAAGCTTGAGGTTGTTGTAGCTTTCACCTGCAAAACTAACCCTAACATTCACCCTCACTGTATTCTTAGTTTGGAAACTTCCTGCCTGTGACTGGCATGAAATGGAACCAAACCTCATAACTGTTTTGTCGAGACATAGCTATTTTGGCAGTGCACCCTGGCCATATTGTAAACCCTGCCAGGAAGGGAGAGAGACACGGGCAGGGTGGACCTGAATTAGAAAAACACTACATGCTTCAAGCAGCAGTAGCTCTTATATCAATCTAGAACTGAAACATTTTTAGTAGATAAATGGATTAGTTGTTAAAACTATTTTGACTAAGAATTTATCATTTACATCATTTTTCAAGCATTGTTCCATCTTCTTAAATGTGCTAGTACAATCTGGGGAGGGGAAAAAAGGGAGGACAGAGGCTCGTAGTGTGTTGTCTGGTGAAAAGGGGACACGACTTTTTTCTGATTTACAAGCAATTTTAAGATGTCACCGTGGACTTCAGTTGGTACGTAATTATGTTGAGGTCTATGATTTCTGGGACGCAGAAAACACGGATGGAATCACGGAATTTTACAATACAAATGGAATAAACTGTAAAACGTGGAATCGGCCAAAATGTGGATGCAATTTATTAAAAAAAAATTTGCATTTTCCCTAGCATTATAAGTATTTTTTCCATGGACAAAAAAAAAAGAAAAAAATACACTGTTGTGTTTTGGTGTCATTTAGGCGCCCTTTCTGTTCTCTGATGTGTTTTTAACCGAGGGCTGGGCTCAGCAACCCCCACACACAAAGAAAGTCGGCGCGCAAGCAAGAGCTCAAAACTTCAACAAACTCTCAAAAGTGCGACCACATCGGCAGATGTAAGACGCAAGCTCGTTAGACTTTGTGGCTTTTTGAGCTACGTCCGGGCAAGCTTTCTAAACAAGGAGGAGCATTGCCCATGTAAGAGAAGTTTGGGCAGTATCTGGAGGCTGTCCTACAGAAGAACCGTGGAAAGAAATTGTCAGTAGTCAAGTAATAACCTGTTTATTACAGTGCATATATTGCAACAAAACATTTGTGAATTATACTCTTAAATATTATAGTACCCTACATTTCTTGTGAATTGTCCACATAAATAATTGCACAAACATTTTAATCATTTTAATTATCAGAATCATTTGTTGTTTCAGGATCTGTAGAATCTATTGCTTTGACCCGAGCTACAATGTACTACCCATCTCCTGTGCATGCACTGGACTGAGGGGTAGCCAATGACACAACAAAAACCCACAACATTCAACTGAGATGGATAAACGCCCAGTACTCAATATACAGCTCAATATCACTTTCTCTACCCTTTAAAATACACTTGATGGAATGTGGTTGGTAAACGTTCATGAACAGAGGTTGTCCTCTTCCTCCAGTGAGGTGTGGAGAGGCAGGCAGCTCAGGGAGGACTGTAGGCCTGAGAATAATGCCAGGGGATAATAGGAGTCAGTGGCATCTCAAAGTCTGAGCAGCGGATGTGTTTAACCAAGCCTATTAAAACCTGCACTAATCCTGCCTTACACGTCCTTATCCGGGCATCCACTGACAGCCTTAACTCACACAGGATGGGCCACTTACACCACGACTGATTGCAGTTCTTGCTTGCCTTCTCCTTTTCAAACACTGACACTTTGATAATAATTTCTTAAGTATCTGCCATCAAAATCAGAGATATACTGGAAACAGCTGATGCAAAAGAGTGTAAATGAGCATCCAAAATTTCTAAATATCGTGGAATCACTAAGTCAACCCAACCCTTCTCTGATCATCTGATGAGAAATGACTGCAGCCCACAAGTAAACCATTTCAAAACGGTGACATAAAAACAAACTCTTAACCCCGCTCACCTGGGCCACCAGGTACAACAGTGTGCAGTAGCGATTTAAATGTATAACACAGAATGGAATATGTCGCATCAATAGTATGGCTCTAGTGTGGCCTATTTCTTTGAGCTGAGGTATTCAGCAGGGAAACGAAAGGAGACACATGTCAAATAACCAGAGCTGCTTTAGGTGGGCGATAAATGGGAGCAAACGTTTAGAAACTAAGGATGCAACCTAGATCATTCTAATTGTCCTAAAAAGGGACACCAGCTTCTTTTTTTCCCAAGGAGCTTTCACACTTATCTGTTGTTTTAAGTGGCTGGCTGGTCAGATCATGCACATAAGGTTTAACAACAGTGTTTTAGAAGATGCGTGCACACAAAATACATTCTCCTGAAAGGCGTACATTTGTGGTACAGCATAGCCTATTGTTCCTTTTTGTGTCCACGGAACTATGAATCAATGCAGCACAGAGCAACTTATTCAACAGCAGCTCCCACCTGCCCACACACCAGCTATAAAAATAGCTAACCTACTCTGCTAGACTTCTGGATGAGGGGGCAAATCCCACAGTATCCTTGTCATCTGGAAGGGTAGATTGTGTGCAAACTAGTAATAAATAGGATAAATTGATAAATGGATGAATGGGCACCAAGCAAGGTAACGTTATAGGTGAGGCACCTGGAGGCTCATCCAGTTGTACAAACGTTATGCAACCTGAAAGCAACAGTGTAGGGCAAATACAAAGCTACTACTTCTTCAATCATCAAGTGACCATCTTCACATTTTAACCACCACCAGCTAACAAACCACAGTGGAAGTTTTAAAACTGGGCGACAGGTTAGCTTGAGGGCTATCGTTAGTCCATGATGTCCAACTGGCCCACTGACAAGCATGTGGTAGCTTGTAAACGGTTACATCTTAGTAACTTCGATGCCAAATGAGCTTGTCGTATGCACACCAATGCAAATAGTCCACTCGAATAAAAAGACAGCGACGTTACCGCTGGTTAGCCAGTTCTTGTACAGATGCACCTGGACAAGACAGTTAATAAATTCAACCCAACAAGCTTGCAAGACAAACCACGCATTTCGTTACTTAAACCAAGCGTCCTGCTAGCAACCTTAACAAGTAGCATAACGTTATTTGCTAGCATTGCCAAGAAGGCCCAAGGAGGTTGGTTTTCCATACAACGACACAAGACATGACAATAAAAAAAAAAAAATGTATTATAGAATTAGCACGTCACATACCGAGAAGTAGTAATTTGAGCTCCCTCCTGGAGTCTCGCTTGTCTCGGCGGAGTTGTTTGTCAATTTCTGCATTGATTCGTTTCGACTCCTTCGCCTCTTCGCTCAGGCAACAAGCCATCATGGACTCCAAAGTCATCCCCTCTGGTTTTGGCAGCCCGGTTTAAACGGGACCCGGCAACACTCGCCCACGGTTTCAGTTTATCCCGAATCCCCGGTACTCGCTTCGATGTCAGGCGGAGGAGGTGGTCTGTCGGACTGGACAGATGGGTGGATGGGACTGGGGGGAGGGGAGACTAAGTAGGGGCCTCGCTGTCAAGTTGTCCCCCCAGCCGAGAGCAACTGCGACTTCACCCGTGTATTCTCGGCAGATCACGGGAGATTCGGACAGGGGAGGGAGTGAGGAGACGGCGGGGCCTCCCAGAGATGCTCTGCCAGATATTGTTAAAATTAACGTTACTGCGGCTGTCACAGATTAGCCACTTAATACCTGCTTTAAACCATTAACCCCCTCTGTCACTTGCTGGTCCAATTCTACCCTTTCGTCTGTCACTGTGGTCCAATTATACCTTCACAGTCCGCAAAAAAAAAAAGTGTTTCAAAATTGCAGTGTCGCGACATCCAAACCCGTAACAGTTAGTATCGGCGCAGTTGCCCCAACGTTAGCTTCCTAGTTTACGCTAGAAAAAGTAGTAGTCCTTGCTAGTTAAGCTAGTAATCACCGTTATTGCACGATCCACGCCGCAGCAATGCGTCCGTTTGCTAAGTAACTACATTAGCTAACACTGGCTAACTTGCACGTAACGACTACGAACGCTGCCTTGCTAGCCCGCTAGCTCACTTAACAACGCCTCAGCTAGCTAATGTTGTGTCAACCCGCAGTGATTGAAACAGCAAAGCTGGTTGAAGGAATTTGTCCGCCTAGCTAGCGATAGCAGGACAGCACCCCATCACATCCTGACTCATTTTGACGGTAAAATATAAGGCTACGACCACAGCCTGAAACAGGGGGTAAATGCGTGCAGAACCGGCGGCTTTTGCCAGAAATCTATTCGCTGCAAACAGCTGGCTTTCGGGTAGCTCGTCGCTGGAACCAGGTCGGCGCGCGCACACACACACACACGCACCAGTATGATGCCAAGCAAAGAGGAGGAGATACTGGGGCGTTGAGTGACAGACAGAGAATTGCATGAAATAGGTTTATGACAGACCAATTGAATGGACGAGCCGGGTCCTCGGGGTGGGATCTGACTGCGAGTTAAATCGATAAGAAGCTGCAAAACCCACTATATTTTCTTGATTTCAGCTGTTATACATCCTAGGCAATGCATGTCAGACCACCTGCTGCTGTTTGCACAATGTTCTGCACTGCACGGGTCTTGCTAGTTGCTAATCCCCTTAACTCCATCAGTAACCTGAAGTATAATGCAAACAGCACTGGACAAGACACATCATTAGCGACGACTGTGGTGGGTGTGTGCTGTGATAGCAGTGACATCTTGTGGCCTTACTATACAGTTGCATGTAACATCTGTTCAAAGTATTCATTCAATAAGTCTAGGAAAGGCAAAGGCATCTCATAGTGTCTTGACTCTTAACTTAACACTTAAAGGTGTATTTTTAACCACCTGTCACTAACTCTTAATACTTTTAGAGCCAATGTGCAATACTGGTTTCCAGGAAAGTAACTAAATACTATATTTTCCATAACTGTGAAACAAATGTTTACATTACACACTGGTTACAAACATACAAAAAAAAAGGGAATAAGTCAGCATGAAATAAGAGACAAAACCATAAACAACAAATGTACTTACAAAACTGGAATTTTTATGTAATGATGCACTACATTAAATGTACAAAACAACAGTGCATCAGCCCCTCCAGGCTGTGATGCTTATTACACAATAAAAAAAAAGTCTGATAGATTAAAAAAATGGAAAAAGATTTTGCTGTTCTTGTCCCTGGTGAAAACATGTGAAGATTGGCCACATGGTGGCACTAAAGTTGAATCATGTTCCTGCATAAATCAAAAGTGTTTTCCTACATATGTATTACGATTATGGGACATCTCTGATTATGCTTGACAGGCTGAGGTCAGTCTAAGCTGTAATGCTTTGAGATCAATGCTAACATTGCCACTAGTGATATGTGATACCACTTAATTCCTATCCGATCCAATACCAAGTAATACCCAGGCTGGTATTGCTGATACCGATACCAATATTTTTTCCTTTTTTTTATTTCTAGTTTAATGTGACCTCCCTCTCCCGTTTCTGTATTTATGAGAGAAGTAAGGAGTAGGCTGTGGCTTTACCAATTCAAAATAATAGCTGCATAATGACAAGACATCAAACTACTGTCATATTCTTTAATTATAATGAAAATATCCTGCTCAGAACTGCGGCTTCATAACATCATCATATTATGTTGACTTAATCTCAGATGTTTAGCGAAGTTTGCACTGTTGCCAAAGTATTTCACTGTCTTTGCACACACATCACTCACAGCGTCATTATTAACTTCACAGCTAAAATACAGCCATAGTCAGTATTCAATCGCGGGAAACGTAAAGGGCTGCAGCAGCTCACTTCAAAGAAGCTCCGTCACAGAGCCTTAGCGCAAGCATGACTTTGACAGGCGGAAGGAAAAGTAGTTTCTATCAACCGAGTAGCCTATAATTAG